GTGAAGCTTCTGGCTCTGCTGAATGAGACATGCTCGCCTCTGTGGCACCACTAAAGAGCCTTAGACCAATACAGCAAGGATGTACTTTTTCAAGACAGTCAAACAGCCAAAACAGAGCTTCTAAAAAATGCACTGTTTATGAGTCCTCTGTGTCAAACAGGGCAGAAGTCCTTGTCAGCAAGAGGACAGGACAAATACCTACATTTCTTCCTGAAACCCACCCAGAGTCCTTCTCTCTGCCAGATACCACCTACTCCAGGCTCTCCTTGTTTCTCTTCCCTACTTCAGTTTAAACAAACAAGCTCTGTCCACACACTGTCTTTGGCTGCTACTCCAGAACAAGTTTCAGATAAAAAGCAATGCCTGGACCAAGGTGTGCTGACCAGCTCAGCCAGCCACAGCCCTCTTTGCCCTTGTGACAGCACAGACACAAGGCATGGGCAATCATCATAAAAATACTACTAAAGACTCTCCATTTTTAGCACCTTGATTTTGCCTTGGCCTCTGGCTGTGTTGGACTGTAAGTGTGCAGCCTGTGCCATTTCATGAGCTATAACACCTCTCTCTACCACATAAGCGACAACACAGGAACCTGGGCTTGGGGTTGATTTGTGGATGCAGGGAGCAGGGCTGAGGATTGGGACAGGTTTTAATCTGGCCCCGACCTGGGCTGCCCACAGATAATCAAGACAATATCTCTATGGCCCCTCCTGACCCTGCCATGTCTGCAGCTGGCAGGGAGGAAAGGCTTCATCACCACTGACAAACATGCTCCCTCATCTTTATGGGCTCCTTTCAGAGCACAGTGGAATGACATCATCACCAAAAAGAGCCAAAGCAACCCAAACGGGTGGTTAACACTCCACAGGTACTACAAACCAGGAGTAGGAAGCAGTAAAATCATGAAGGATGAGAAATTCTTGTGCCTTGTGGGGTGAGGACTGACCTGTAGTTGCTCCCTCACCTGCTGCTGCCACCTGGCCAGAGGTGCTGTGGCTCTGTGACCACAGGGTAGATGTGAAATGGTGACAGCAGTAGCAAGAAGGGGACAAGGAGGCTGGAAAGAGGGCAGACAGAAAGCCAAGGAGGCAGCAGGTCTGGTGGCTCTGAGAGCTGGGGGATGAGGAGGGAGGGAAAGGCTGCAGCTCCAGGCAAGAAAGATTTTCACTCCTCTGGTGACTTCAGCAGGCTCAGGACCCAAAGTGGCCACAGAACATCAACAACAGTGAGCCTAGCATGGACACAAGTGCCTGCCAGCCCTTGTCCTCCTGGCATTGCAGTTCCCACCATGGTGGAGATAACACCCTGATGCTTATGAGCATCCAGCAACAAAAACTAGGCTACACCAGCCGAGGAGCAACAGGTCATGAGAGCCCCTAGCCAAATCTGCCCAGACATGCCAGCCTATCTTTTGTACCAAATGTTCTGAGCTTTAATACTTGTTAGCATCTCTTCTTCCTAACAGCTTTCCCTCGTGTTTCTTCTCTTCCAGCACTGAATGCATGATTCAGTCATACATTAACCTTTGTGTCTGATTCCTGATCTGCTGTTAAAATCTATGTTAATTCCTTAGAATCTCGCAATTTTTCCCCAAGCAAATTCTGAGCAGTTCTGGGATTCCTGTACCCGCAGACGCAGTAGGTAGCTAACATGGTCTGCTCTCCCAACAGCTCAGGCCGCATGAATGGTCTAATTAACACCTCATCAAACTCAACTGTTGGTTGTGTCTGGAGAAATTCCCTCTTGCACCTGTGCATTCACAAGACACCATTTCTAGCCTCCCGCACAGTAGGCCCCAGCCACTGGAGCAATGCTCCATCACTGCAGAGCCCGTCCCTACATCACCAGTAGCAGTCCTGGTGCAGTGTTCAGGACTCGCCCACCCAGATATGCTCTGTGGCTGCTCTGAACCATTGCACCGTGCAGGGTGCTGCAAGAGCTCAGGAGCAGTAATTCGGCAGTGAAGGGTTTGCAAAGCCCGTGCTGCTGCGTTTCTTCTCCCCTCACCATATCCTACCTCCGTCATCAGAAAGTGCATAGGTTTTACCCAGCACAGCTCAGTGCCACCTGCCTAAGGACAGCCATTGCAGTGGGACAGCACGCACACACCCCTACATGATGCAAACCTTCCGATGCCTGATCTGCGCTCATCGTGTAGCCTGTCTAGCAGACCCCAGAGAAAGGTAGCACCCCACAAGGGGTTCAGCCCCACCCTGTCCTGGAGGACTGGGTCAGAATGGCTCTGGAGGTGTCCATCTCCCACCATTGAGACAGACAGAGCCTAGTGCACAGCAGAGAGCAATGCCCAATTCAAGATGACACCGTCACTATTACAGGACAAGGTTTAAACACAAAGAATAAGTTTAGCTTGGTTGCTTGAGGTAACAGTTAAACAACAGACTACGATGTTTGGAACACCAAGCACACAACAGGAAAACAGTAATTTTAGGTAATACTTTACAATGAGACTTTTTCTCTGAGTGTTTTAGGACCTCAGGTAACTCTAGAGGCTTTCCCTGGAGAACATGTAATGCCACCTTCTGCTGTCGGAGATCACTCCATGGGCCTCTCTGAGCTCTCCTCCCCCACTTCAGCTCATTTCTTTTAACTTCCCCCCTCAAAACCCGCTTTCTTACCTTGTGTAACAAGGCACTGCTTGCCTGGCAGACTAATCCACCCATCCCATCTTCTGCTCTGGGGTATCTCATCTCTCCCCTCCAGCCTTATTTAACACTTGAGACATAATCTTCCACTTGGCATATCTCTTCCTACCTGGTTGACTTCTGCTGTTCATCACATTTTTTAAAATAAGAGAACAAAACTTGCAGATTTCACATCCTCAGGACTATTAACTGCACACACTTTATTCACTCTGGACCTGTGAGCACGACATAGATCACTCACAGTGGTCTAGGTCTAGCAAGGCAGACAGCAGGCTTGCCATTGCCAAGGCACCTTCCTAAATTCCTTCTCCTCTCTCCCGCTTGCTGACTGTATGGGGCTCATTCAGGATCCTGAGGCATGTCCTGGCTGTGACGGCCCCAGGAACATGCTGAGACACATCCCATTGACCAGTTCTGTGATGCTCCTGCAGAAGGCAGAGCTCTCAGTAGCACTAACCAAGAGCACCGCAGAGACCTCAGGGAGCTGCTGGGAATAAAGCCCACGCTGTCAAGCAGCTTAGGCACTGGGGTTTATTTGTTTGTACTTTTGCAACTCCATTTCCAAATACTGCAAATGAGTGCTTAGCTCTTTGTCTTTGTGTAATCAGACTTGTTCCTCCTCTTTATGCCCTGCCTGGTAATAATGGGGTCTTTATGTGGAAAGACAAGCAGCTCTTTTCTCACAGGACCCCATGGGCTGCAAGGCCACACAGGCACGTGCTGCTCGCCATGAGCTGCATCCACCAGGGTTTGGAATGCAGGACACAAAGTTTCTCCATGAGAGAGAGAAATCACTTTGAGTGCCTGTGGATTAGTGTCACCTTGGCAGGCAGGGATGGCAGCAGAGAAACAGCATATCGCTTGGAGAGGCAGGCATGCTTGTTACAGCTCTTCCAGACCAGTGCAGGGGTCTGGAGACCCCCCACCATCTCATCACCAGGGCTGTTCAAACCCTAGTTCTTACCTACCTTCCCTTTCATTCAAGACGGTGTTTCTGCCAGCCTCGCCACCAGATTGTACACTACAGCCTCACTCCCAGGGTTGCTGTCAGTCAAAGCGCAGCTCCAGCGACGCTGAGCTGCTGGACCACCCTGGCCGTGCGACTCGGCTCTTCTGACCCCTCTTCCCTGGGACCCGGCTGCGGCGCATGAAGGGCAAATGCAGCCGCAGGACTTTCCTTTCTCTAAGAGCTTCTTGGCTCTCATCCCTGTTGTTTTCC